AATGGGCGAAGTGAGCCTAGCAAGCCGCATAGTCTAGGGATTGGATGGTTTGAATAGTTTCAGCGACTCTGAGCTATAGGGTAGGTCCCCAGTTGTCTGCTACTTGGCCCTGTAGGGATTGGGGCAGGGGATAGAGTCCTGGACTGTAGAGGTCTGATAAAAGGAGATGGAGGGAGGCTACGGACAAGGGACTGGTTGGTTTGCATAGGAAAGATGTGCTGGCAGGCAAGTTGTTATCTCTGGGAATTATTTAAACCTGGGAGAGATGGTTCTCCAGTCTGAAAGTTCCCAACTGTGTTAAGAATACGTCAAATAAGAAAACATAGTTAATACAATTGACCCTGTGGTGCACTGGCATTACAAAATTTTCTGGAACTCTTTTCATATCATAATATTTTAATTGCACCAATTAATTTTTTTTTTTTTTTTTTTTTTTTGGTGGCTGACCAGTACAGGAATCAAACATTGGACCTTGGTGTTATCAGCACCGCACTCTAACTGACTTAGCTAACCGGCCAGCCCACACAAATTAGTTTTTAAAAATAGGATCTGTGGAATTCACATTAGCCTTTAAATTCTTCCTTATAGCAATTTATATTCAAGTCGAATAATTCTATATTGTTTCAAGTCAACCAGTGAAAAAGTGGGAGTATAAATAGAGGGAAAGACTCAAGAATATAGTTTTCATATTGATGATCTCATCGTATAAAAAGGAAATAGTAATTCTTTCTCTAAAGTTAAAAGTCTAGAGGATATAGGCGTTGGATGACTTGAATTAAAGAAAGGAACAAATGTAAGAGTAGTAACATTTTCGGTTCCAATTATCACCAGAAGTTAAAAGCACCATCTTTGAGGGCTACAGATTGTGTTGCTACTGGCATGAAAAGAAAGGAAAAGAAAAAAATGGGTGAGGGAAAGCGAGATAGGGGAAGAAGAGAAAGAAAAAAGAGAAAGGAGTAAAATATTGTAAGACTTGGTAAAAAAAAATTATTGGAAACAAATACCCCAGCTTTGTCTTTGTATGAAGAAGGTGTATTATAGGTGTATCCACAAAATGTTCAATTGGAAAAGACTAGATTGAAGGAAGAATAGGATGTGAAGACTAAAACAGAGAAGTTAGAATCTCATTGTACGTAATTTTAAATTGATGTGGGGGAAAATGTTATCACAATATTAGAGTTGTAGTCCCTTGCCCCCACTACTCCTTTGCCACATCTACTGATAAGCAGAAGGAAGTATTTAAAATTTTTTATTTTGTCTTTAGTTCTGGTGGAGCATTTATACATTTAGGTAAAAATAGGCTTATATTGATATTTAGTGTTTTGCTGACTTTATAGACATTATCTATTAAATTCCTATATGATGTAGGAGGGTTGAAATCATTTGCACAGTCTTCCCCTGGACTCTCTTCCCCACATTTTAGTTACTCTGCCAATCTCTATATGTCCACTGTATACTTCCGCAATTTTAAGCCATAAACTTTCACTTGCTTTTTTTTTTTTTTTTGTCCTTTTTGAGACCGGCTGCACTGCACTCAGCCGGTGAGCGCACCAGCCATCCCTATATAGGATCCAAACCCGCGGCGGGAGCGCTGCTGCACTCCCAGCGCTGCACTCTCCTGAGTGCGCCACGGGCTCGGCCCTTCACTTGCATTTTTCATTAACCTTTTTGTTCCAACAAGCAGTAAGATGAGGACATTATGACTACCATCTTTCCCTCTACCTTGTGAATGAAATTTTTGTTTATTTTATAGGGAGATATCATCAAGACAAAATTGGGATATTTTCTGACCATTCTTTTTAATTTTTAAATTATGACTCATATGGGGCATATGAATAAATCCTTTATCCTTAACAATATTATATTCCTTAAAGAGGTGAAATGCCAGGCTAATTGGTAAAAGCTTCATAATAACCTTACCTGACTATAAATAGGTAGAAAGAAATACACAGTAATAGAATTTCAGGAAAAAATAACCCAAGTTGAATCTGATTTTTTTTACAACTCAGCAAAGACATCTAGTTTTCCTTATAACTTTTTTTCCTTAAAACATTAGCCTAATGTTAGCTTTAATGGCTTACAAAATATAGGCATTATGGTAATTCTTTCTGGACAAGAAAGAGCAGCTTTTATGTTCCTTTGAAGAAGGAAAAATGTGAAAAAACATAATAGGATCGTTTTTCTCGCTAGGCCGGGTGCCTAATGTTAGCTTTAATGGCTTACAAAATATAGGCATTATGGTAATTCTTTCTGGACAAGAGAGAGCAGCTTTTATGTTCCTTTGAAGAAGGAAAAATGTGAAAAAACATAATAGGATCGTTTTTCTCGCTAGGCCGGGTGTGTTAGGGAGGAAATAGGGTGCATACAAACACAATCTTGATTGCCAGGATCCTTTAAATAAGTACTTACTAAACAGATGTGTTTAGATCTATAATGGGTTATAAAGGATGGGGGGGGAATTACAACTTTTTGAACTTAACCTTATAGATCTCCCACAAAATGTATCCATTGCTACTAGACAGAAATATTGTCAGGATTGACTGCTAATCTGATGCAGGATGACATTTTCTCTAATGTTTTGTAACAGTATCACGTTAGAAGAAAAATTCTGCCAACTATAACAATGATTTCTTGTAATTTAGTATTTTTATTTCATACTTAATGAAAGAGCTCTTTCAGATTTTACATTATTTATTGTGTACATGCATAAAATGGGAAATATAAGTACAAATAGTTAAGGTATTCCAGAAACTTCTTGCATTCAGAGCTCAACTTTTGTGAATCACTTTTTGAATCCGTTGTTGATGGCTGTGGTTGTTCATACAGTATTGTCTTCTATGCCACGGAAGTGTTGGTGATGCATCAAATCTTGAGAGTATTCTACTGTTGACTCCAGGATTTTCTTTAAAGCAGCTGAACCTATTCTGCAAGTTGTTTTGTTTTGGTTTTTTTGGAGGCTGGCAAGTTAGGGGATCCAAACCCTTGACCTTGGTGTTACAACTGTGCACTAACCAACTGAGCTAACTGGCCAACCCTATTCCACAAGTTTTGATTGATGCTGGCACTTTCTTGAGTTAACATGAAAATATCAATGTCAGGTTTTCAGGTAACAACCAGGACCCGTTTTCCTTCTTCAATGGTGTTTTTGTCTAAAATTTACAGGGGTTTTATTGACTAACAAAGCTATCAGGAATAATAACCAAATTATATCACTTTTGGGGAGAGGGGTTAGGCTAATTTAACTGTTCAGATTAAGAACTAACGTACTTGGTGAGTAACTCAGGGCTTCTGGAAGTCTAAGAGCTCTGAGCCAGTCCCATCCCTCTTTTTCCTAATTGCTGGGGGAATTTTCTTTTTGATCTCAGGAAAATCCTCTTCTGTAGGAAGATCTTCCCTAGAAACGTCTCTCTTCAAGATTGAGTCTATTAACTCCCTTCCTCGAACCCAGGACCTTCTGCGTGTAAAGCAGACGTGATAACCACTACACTATGGAACCCCTTCAACTCCCTTCCTTTTAGGGCTGTGGGTTTTATTAAACAATGCACTTCACTCAGTTGAAATGAGGACACTCTGAACAGCAACATCCAAGTTTTTGTAGGTGGAGGCATGACAACAGGTCAATAACGCCACCTTGCCAACAACATTAAGAAACCAATTTATAAGATGCATCCTGATTTCAGAGATCTTAAAGTGTGGAAATAAAATGTCTTAGCATTTGTGAAATACATTATGTCATGGTGGTCCCGTTAATGTACAATAGGTATTCTTTCACTAATTCCAAGGTCGGGATGCGGAAAGAGCTTGCCTTAAAAGAAAGCAGTACTTCTGGGTGTGTTAAAAAAAAATCTTCAGGGGGTTACAATCAAACAGTTGCAATAGCCTGGGTTCTGGGTTTAAAGTGGTAAAAAGATGTAGTGCTGGAGGCGAGAGCTAAGAAATACATAAAGAATGGAAAACATGGAAGCAAAAGCAATGAACAAGTACATTAAAGGGACAAAATCACAGGCTTATCAAAAAAAAGCGTAGTGATAATTGCAGCAACAGCCAAAGAGCAAAGTAATTCTAAGATTATTTTTACGTAAAACATAAGCTCTCCAGCGGGGGCCCTCTCCATTTTAGATACGATTATTTTCCTTATCACAGATTATAATTACATATCCAGTAGTGTGATTGATTTAGGTTTGTGTCCCCCAGTACGTTTAAACTGTTTTTGCTCAGTCTGGATGTCTCTTAATATTCGTAACCCTTTCATGTGCAATGTATGTCTTTGAATACCTAACCTCCTGAAGCCTCAATTTTCTCATTTGTCCAAGAGGAATAATAATAGGATTCCTCTTAAAGAGTCACCCTTAGATGAAATGCAAAAGTATATATAAACCTTAAACAGTGCCTAGCACAGAGTAAGCACTCATTAAGCAACAGCTTTTGTGAGATGCATCTCCCTGGGGGGTACACATGGGACCAGCGCAAACTACTAACCCTTTTATTCCCGTTTTCTTTTCTACATTCGTGTGTTGCTTTGAATGCAACCCATTTTTGTTTGGGCCCTCAAATGCTGAAACCTTGGTCTCCACTCTGTGTCGGGTCGTAACTGCGCTGTGAGCCTAGTCATTTCGGTTGGAACAGGGACTGATTTCCCAAGCTCGGAGTGGGGCCCTCGGCAGGGAGGAAGTGTCCGCTTTAAGAGATGCAGGCGGGGAGGAAGGGGCTCCCGCGCCGGGGGGGGAGAGCGGGTGGGCGGGCGTGCGGGGGCGGGCCGTGGCTCCTGCGTCAGAGGCGCCCGATTTTCGCACCTTGCCTGACGTCAAACCTCCATCAGACTGCAACGCCACGTTGCCCGTGGCAGCCTGCGCGAGCCGAGTCGCGACTCCGGGTCCGCGTCGTGCGAGGCGCGCTCCACTCCGCTGCTCCGCTCCCCGCAGGAGTGACCGAGGGCTCCAGTTTCTGGCTCCGCGGGCCGCGGCGCTCCGGACGGCCCGGGGGTCGGGGCGCCGCCACGGAAGCGGAATAAGAAGGCAGAACGGCGAGGCCGGTCCTCGGTCTCCACCGCGGCCCGGAAAGAATCCGGGCGGCCTCCGCGGAGGTGAGTGCCGCGGCGGGGGCGGGACGGGGTGGTGCGGCCGGGGGCGACGCCCGCGGGCGGGGCCTGCTCTCCCGGCGCCTGGGGCGCCTTCTTCCTCCCGAGGGACGCACTGACTGCTCTCCGGGCTCCCGCACCCGCCTCGCAGGTCCTCAGCTTCCCCTCACCCCGAGTCCCTTTCGGCCCCTGCCGCGTGAGCGGGGCCGGCGTCTCCGGGCCGGGATGGAGGTGGCTGGGGCGAGGGGGGAGGTGGGGCGCAGGCTGCCTCGCGCTTCTGTCCGGGGCCCTGGGCCGGAGGGGCCGTGGGTCGAGGCCTTGGGCCGGGGCCTGGGGAGGGGGAGGCCTGCGGACGTCGGATCTAGGGATCTGTCCTCCCGGAGACTTGCCGGGGCACCTGTGGGGCCGAGATCCCGAGCCACCTGTCCACACACCCCTGCCCCCAGTCCCCTTGTTGTGTGCCGCTGTCCCCAGATTTAGGCCTTTACCAGCCTGTGGCGATTAGTTTATTTTGGAAACGTTCGATTTTTGTGTTAATGCTCATTTTACTACCGCCGTGCAACAGTTGTGTGTAAATCTGGTGAAATTACGCCATCGTTATTACTTGCTCCTAAGAAGGCCCTTTCCGGCTCCTACGATTATCAGACGCAACGTTTTTTTGGGAGCTCGTGGAAGAAATGCGTAACAAGATACTGGTTCCCAAGGAACTAAAACGCCCTCCTCCCCCATGGAAGTATCTTTATTTATTTATTTATTTTCACAGCAATCATGTACTAAGGGGGTGGGGGTGGGGTAGGGGACGACGGAGAAAGCCCGGAGCAATTTCATCCTCCGGAGAGAATCTGTTAACAGTTTGGGGTCTATCTTTCCCTATTCTTTAATGAATACATAAATATATATACGTAGGTTATATAAGCGGGGTATTTATTTGACGTGCTTTTTTTCCACTGACTACGTGGACGACTTTTTCTATATCATTACAACCCAAAACATAGAAGGCAAGAAAGAAACTCGTTTATGACTTGATAAATTACGACGGCAATGGTCAATGTATTGGATGGAAATAAGCTAAATTCAGGGTAACAGTCAGTTTCTGTAATATATTGTTTACTCTTCTTAATAATTTAAGGCAGTATTTTTTTCAAACTGTAGTTTTTAACCTATTAGTGAATTGTGAAATCAATTTAGTGAGTCATGACTAGCGTTTTTTAAAAAAATGAAGATAGCATAGAAAATACCAGATTGCATTACACGTAGTAAGGGTATTGTTTTGTGAAACTGTGTTTTAACTGTGCGTGTGTGGTGGGTCGTAATACAAAATGTATTGCTTTCTGTGTGTCATGGTAAATAAATTTGAAAGTCACTAATTAAGGGTACTGTGAGCACTCAGAATAGGAGCAGTGATGCAATTAAACTGAACATTAATTTTACTTCTTTGAAATAATGACATTGTTTATTGCAGCAAATGAGATTTCTAATTATTTGTTTTCAATTAGCATTCTTAAAAATACAGGTTGAGGGCTGGCTGCTTTGCTCAGTTGGTTAGAGCGTGGTGCTGATAACACCGTGGTCCAGGGTTCAATCCCTGTACCGGCAGGCCGCCAAAAATAAAAATAAAAATACAGGTTGAGCATCATCCCTAATCCGAAAATCTGAAATCCGAAATGCTCCAGGGCTGGCTGGTTAGTTTAATTGGTTAGAGCATGGTGCTGATAATACCAAGATCCAGGGTTCAATCTCTGTACCCGCCAGCAGCAAAGAAAAAAACACACAAAAACCACACACACACTCAAACCCCAAAACAAAGCAAAATGCTCCCAAATCCGAAAATCCCACACCTGACCTCACGTGATGCGTATACAAAATTATTGAAAATATTGTATAAAATTACCTTTGGGCTATGTGTCTAAGGTGTATATGAAGTATAAATGAATTTCATGTTCAGACTCGGGTCCCAAGCCCAAGATATCTCATTATATATATGCAAATATTCCAAAATCAGAAAAAAACCTGAAATCCCAAACCCTCTGGTCCCAAGCATTTCGGATAAGGGATCCTTGGGAGGAAACGTTTTAATAGGAGTTAAGAAGTTAAAGCAAAAAACAAACAAAAAAAGAGGTTAAAGCATAAGCTGCTTAGATTGACCTACAGTCAAGTACCCGCTACCCTGGTTATTGGTTGTGAGACCTGGGACAAGATACCTCTTCTCTCTAAACCTCAGTTTCCTGATTTGTTAAATTGGAGTTATCATGGCACCCTACCTTATAAGGCTGTTGGATATTTAGATGTGATAATGCATATGAAGCTCTTGACGGGGTGCCTGGCTCAGATTAAGTACTTACTGTTAACTATTATTATTTCATTAAGACTGAATGAAGGTGTCCAGGATAATCCTTGTCACCAGAGGAAGGCCAACACAGCATGGATAATCCAAAAAAGTGGAAAATTGAAAATTAGTTAATAGTGTTGCATGAAACTGACACTGAATTAGGATGATGTTTTAATATTATTTGGCCGTTGTTTTATGATTGCTTCCCAGTTTTTTTCCTACTGCTATACAAATAATTTAGATTGTATTATTCAAAAAATCAGATGCTGTTTTATTGTCTTTTCTTATTTTCTATTAAGTTGGTGTCTCTTTGGTCAGGCAATGAAAAATATTTCTATTTTCCCAAATTAAAGCCCCAAACTTATATTAACAATATTTTTATTGGTATTTACCTCTGCAGCTGGTACAGATCTCAGGTGTGCAAGAAATATTCCCTAAAAACACACAAAATGCAACTTCGTTTATATTTTGAGACAGTTGTGCTGAAGTCATCTCGGCAGTTGGAGATCTCTGTTCCCTGCCCCAGATGGTTTTATGCAGTTTTAAATATTACATAAACCAGTGAAATAAGAAGGTGAACATTGTCATTTTTTAATAGCATTGTTATTTTTATGAAAAATAAATCGAGTGCTTTGGACTCATAAAAAGACTTGTTGCAAAAGCACTTTGCTGGGTATGACAATGTCAGAGGTTGGGAGAAAATCTTAAATATTAATGGTAATTCTGTTCTCAGATTTGAAGATGTCTTTAGGTTCTTGTTTTGTTTTAGAGGAATGAAAATGAAAACCCACTAAGGGTGAATTATGATGTGTTTTATGACTTGGCACTCTAGCTAAACTATCCACCAAACAAACAAACAAACACATCCCCAAAGACCAATGAAACAAAAAAAGCCCAACTTGACTTTAAATGAAACATATGTACATTTATATGCTTTAAGTTAAATGTTAAGGTTATGTGTGTATGTATTTTTAAGTCATCTTATTAACTGACTTTAAAATGTAGACTGGCAAACTACTGGTTCTTATCTTGTCAGATAAGAGGGCTTTTATCTTACACTGATAAAAATGGAATACTATGCCATCATTAAACCTTCTGTTTTGGAATTATATATAATGATATATAAAGGTGCTCATCATGTATGGTTAAGTGAGAGAGACGTTATAGAATAGAATGTATAGTACATTGCATGTTTGTAAAAATATATTTAGAACAAAGAAGAATATATGACAAATGTTAAGGGTGGGTTGTGGGATTATGAGTGATTTTTATGCTCTTTATTTTTATAATTGTACTATAATAAGTTTTACTTTTGTAATAAAAATTAATAAAAGGTTTTTTAAAAGAAAAAATTAAAATGTGTGTTTTCCTAATTTACAAGCATAAGTGAGACTATACTTTAAGGGATACTCACTCCTTGAATTTGGATATTTTGGGTATTAAATAATTCTTTAATATTCTAGGAAATGGTGCTGAGTAGTTTAACAATTATATTCCTTGTCCTTTGAAAAGCTCCTTTGAGCAGGAGAGAATCTTCCAGAATTTCCTTAAAGCACTCTTTGAGTATATCTCTTTCCAAAAAAAATTCCGCACTGCCTAAAGATATTGTCTAAATTCTTAAGTCTGCTTTTGAATCCTATTGTGTCAAAACTCTACTTTTCCTGCTTTATTGCCCTTTGAATTCTCAAATGAAACCTTAGATTGAGCTGAACTTGTTAACTACTGTCTCCAGATGTACCTTGTGCTGTCTTGCTTTTGTACCTTTGCTTGTTTGTTACTTGGAATATCTTTTCCTGACCTTTGTGTAAGCAAATATTACCAGATATTTTCCAATACCTGGTTTAAAAAAAAAGGTATCCACTGTAACATCCTTGTCCATTCTAGTTAAAAATGAACTTTGCGGATAGTGCTTGTTATTTTTGCTTAGGCATTTCTCAGACACTCTCTTATACTTTTGCGTTAATTTTCCAATTCCATGTTAAACCTCTTGAGGGTTTTGGCTCATATTTGTCTCTATCCCTTAAAGTTTCTAGCATGAAACTGCACAGAGTAGGTGCATAATAGTTATTCCTTGATTTTACAGTGGTTTCACTAGCTCCTTTGAGCTCAGAGGTTGGAATTTTTTCATAACTAGCGGACCTGGATGAGGGTCAGCACTTTGCTCACAACAATGTGGAGGAATAAAAAACTGATAATTCTGTGTATAAAAAGCTGATAGTTCAGCTCATTGTTATAGAGAGCTGATAAAGAATTGACAATATTTTTCATTAAAACTATCACGGTAGCTGAGAATTTGGTGGTTAGTCCAGGGCCCAAACTTAATTTTACATGTATTTTTCTTAAAAGTTTTTCATGATGCTTATTTTGGGTTTGATAGCATTTTTATTCTTAGTCTTACAGAGGCACACTTGGCCTTAATTTTTTTTACAGCCACTGTTCCTGGAACCCAGAGATCAGAAGGGTTTGGTGGTGGGTTAGACCATCACACAGTTACTCTGCTCCAGAACACCTTAAGAGATCATGTTGTGACCTTCAGTGAGTCCTAGTATGTAAAGTTCTTTGTGTTCAAAAATTAATAATTTTTCTTCTTTTATTGGAAACATAATTGTGTCACTTCAAACTTAAATATGACTTAGGGGTACTTACTTGGTCAGTGGCGACACTTTTTGAGACATCTTTTTTTTAGAAATTGTTTTATTTTAATTTACAGATATTTGCCAGGACTGAGATAGCTGATGAACTACCTGCCTGTTTTCTGCCTAAGGTAAATAATTTGTTACTTTATAAAAATACCAGGTTCAAGTAGAATTTAGAGTTTGTATAAAAAGACCCATTCAGTCATGCAAAGTAATACAATCCCAGGTACTAAAGAAATGATCTCTTTAATAAGTAAGAATTTTATTAGTTCATAAAAAATGACTTATGTTATTGGGTCAGTTGTATTAGGATCACCTTGGAGCATTTTAAATATGCATAATATCATGTGACTGGGCTTTTACCCCCCAACCCCTGGGAATTTTGATTTGGTAAGTTTCAGGTGAGGTCCCAGCATGTAAATTTTTTTAAATGCCAGCATGTGCTTCTGATTCATTGAAACTCAAGTGTCATTGTGCCCTAGAGATGATGGGAATGGCAGGTGATAATGCCATAGGGGTTAAAGGCCATAAGGGTTGAAGATTAAAAAAAATTAAAGTATTTAATTTTCTGTGTGTGGTGTTAGACACGTGCTTTCATTTTGCCTTTTATTCAGTGAATGTTTTAATTATATTTTGAATATATCACTAAAAAGTTTGTTATTTTATGATTTTTCAAACTTTAAGTTTAAGCATTCAGGTTTTCTTAGCCTGAAGATTGCCTTATATATAAATACAGCTTAAAATAAAGCTTTATTTAATTTTCCTTATTTCAGAGGCTGGCTTAATTGATTTATTTTTCCTGTAAATGTGAGAAGTCCAGAAAATCAGAGGTTCTCGTAATAAAAAAATTTATAGGTAAGTGAATATTATGATAGCATTTTGACTTAATGAAGCTTTTGTTTTCTCATTTTATTGGTTTCAAGGCTATGATTTCATTCTTCATTGATTTTAATGATTAAACTTTTTCCATTTTAGAATAATCTTAGAAATACTCATAACACACTATAGAATGATTCTGTTATATGTTTTCCAGTAGACAATGTTTAAAATAATTAGAATTATAAACTTGACAATATTATTTGCAGTTGTTTTCAGTTTAACAAAAAACTGCGAAAAACTTCATTGAGTTAAATTTTTTATTTAAAATAATCACACACTATAACCACATCATGTCAGTTAATGAATTGGCTGTGCATCAAAATTATCTGGGGAGTTACAAAAATTCTGAAGCCTAAGCTATATATCATCTCTAGTAACTTGAAATTTTGGGGGATGAGGACTGGTGGGTTAGCTCACTAAGTAGACTGTGGTGCCGATAACACCAAGGTCAAGGGTTCAGATCCCCATACTGGCCAGCTGCCAAAAAAAAAAAAAAAAATCCCCAGAATTTTGGGGGATGATTTTGACATTCAGCCTGGTTGGGAACTACTACAGTATGTAATGTTGAAGGATATAGTTTTAGGTGGGTTGAAACTAGGAAACTATTTGTAGAGGAGAAACAACAGAAGGAAAAAGTTCCTCATATTTATTTGGTTTATGTAACTGTCAGAAGAGAAATGCCTTGTGTTCCAGAGGCTAAATTAGTTGTTCTGATTTTTAGCAACTCTGTTGGATAAGTTCTTTTAAAACATGCCTCTTTGTGAGCTAAGCAGAAAATGCTATGTGGTATCTTTACTCTCATTATAGAGAACTGGACATTATTATATATGAGTGACACTGAGACTTCACATAATCTGGGGCTTTGTGTAGATACATAATGGGAAAATTAATGAGCTACATTAAGATAAAGTAAATATACTGTAGTAATATTTTAGTAGTAATTTGCCTTTATAAATTGAGTACTATTGTCTTCGTTACTGAATCAGTTCCTAATAACTCTAATGACTTACCAGAATATTGGTTAAAAATTTAGTCATCTGGTCTTCAAATATTGGCAACAAACTGCTCTGTTAGAAGATCCTAGTTCTCAATTCTGCTCCAGGCTCGTTGATTGATTCAGTAGCTCATAGCAGCTTTATATATTTTCCTAATTTTAGAAATAGAAATAGGAATGGATAGGACCCAAGAGTGAATTTTTGCTTTTTGGTAATTATCATAGCCATTTTTCTCATGGTAGTAAGGAATTATTGTGATTTCTTTTTTTTTTTTTTCCCAGATTGATTATTCAAAGACATTAGCCATCTGACTTTGGTTATTCAAGATGCAGAGGAGACAAGGATACTGCAGCTATTGCCGTGTGCAGTATAGTAACCTGGAACAGGTGAGAGATTCCTAGTAATATAATACCTCAGAGGACCTAGTCATGACTTTCTCTTCTTTGGGGTTTTATTAAATTCATTATTCATTCATTGAACAGATTTTATTGTAAATATACCAGTTGGCTGACACTGTTTAACGTTGTAGGGATATGACCATGAACAAAACCAAGTCTCTTTTTTCATGGAGCTTACATTCTAATGTGGTAAGACAGAAAATAAGTAAATAATCATATAAATTTAGTACATAAATATGTCATATTGTGATAAATGTTAGGAGGAAAATAAAATAGGGAAGGGAGTGCTATTAGGTAGGTTGGCCAGGTAAGGCCTTTTAAAGACAGTGACATTTGAGTTGAGATTTGAGTGAAGTTCAGGCACTAGGCTCACGTATATCTGGGGGAAGAATTTCTAGATAGAGGGGAGAGAGAACAAAGGCAAAGACATTGAGGCAGAAGAGAGGTTGGCATGCTAACCAGAAGCCAGGAGGCCAGTGAGGCTGCAGTGGACGTCGGGAGGTGGGTGTTAAGTAATCGGTGAAGAATTGAGAGAAGTAGATTCTTTAAGACATTGTAGGTTAAAGACTTTGGAATTTTGGGAAGAGAACTTAATTCATCTAACTTGTACTTTAAAAGGATCATTCTGGCTGCTGTGGAGAGAATAGTTGGTATGGAGATTTTTTAGAGTGTATTTTTTTATTGTGATATAATATATACATAATTTTTAGTATATTCACAAAGTGGTGCAAATACCCCTAATTTCAGAACATTTTCATCACCCTAAAAGTAAACCTTCTACCAATTAAGTAGTCACTGCCTACCACCTTCTACCATCAACCCCTAGCAACCTCTAATCTAATTTCTGTCTCTAGATTTGCCTGTTGTGGATATTTCATATAAATGGAATTGTTCACTGTCTGGCCTTTTGTGTCTGGCTTCTTTCATTTAGCATAATATTTTCAGGAATCATCCATGTTATAGCATGTATCACTACCTCATTCCTTTTTTATGGCTGAATAATATTCCATTATATGGATGTACCACATTTTATTTATCCATTCAACAATTTGTGGATATTTGGATTGTTATCACTTTTTGGTTGTTATGAATAATGCTGCTATCGGCGTTTGTGTACAAGTTTTTGCATAGACACATATTTTCAGTTCTCTTGATGTATGTATGAATGGAATTGGGTCATATGGTAACTCTGTGTTTAACTTTTTTGAGGAGGTAGGTACTTCACTGTTTTCCAGAGGGTCTATACAGGCATACCTCATGTTATTGAGCTTCACTTCACTGAACTTCGCAGATGTGGTTTTTACAAATTAAGGATTTGTGGCAGCCCTGCATATCAATCAAGTCTGTAGGCACCATTTTCGAACAGCATGGGCTCACTTTGTGTATCTGTGTCACATTTTCATAATTCTTGCAGTACTTCAAACTTTTTCATTATATTACTTATATCTTATTATATATTGTTATATAAAATCATATAAAATTATATTTGTAGTTATATATACAATTATATATAAAATATAAATATTTATAATTATATATAAATATGAATTTATAATTATATATACTTATATATAAAATCAATATATTGTGTATTTTCATTGTATAACTTATTATATCTGTGATCAGTGATCTTTGATGCTACTATTGTGATTATTTTGGGGCACCATGAACCATGCCCATATAAAATGGCAAACTTAATGGATAAATGTTCTGTGTGTTCTGACTGCTCCACCAACAGGCTGTTCCCCCCTCTCTTTCCCTTTCCTTGGGTCTCCTTATTCCCTGAAACACAGCAATATTGAAATTAGGCCAATTAATAACTCTACAGTGGCTAGTCAGTGTTCAAGTAAAAGGAATAATCGCATGTCTCTCACTTTAAATCAAAAGCTAGAAGTAATTAAGCTTAGTGGGGAAGGCATGTCGAAAGCCAAGACAGGCTGAAAGCTAGGCCTCTTGCACCAAACAGCCAAGCTGTGAATGCAAAGGAAAAGTTCATGAAGGAAATTAAAAGTGCTACTCCAGTGAACACATGAATGATAAAGAAAGAAAAACGGCCTTATTGCTGATATGGAGAAAGTTTTATTGGTCTGGGTAGAAAATCAAACCAGCCACCACATTCCCTCAAGCTGAAGCCTAATCCAGAGCAAGGCCCTAACTCTGTTCAATTCTGTGAAGGCTGAGAAAGGTGAGGAAGCTGCAGAAGAAAAGTTTCAAGTTAGCAGAGGTTGGTTCCGTGAGTTTGAAGGAAATAAGCTTTCTCCATAATGTAAAAGTGCAGGGAGAAGCAGCAAGAGCTGGTATAGAAGCTGCATCTAGTTATCTAGAAGATCTAGCTAGGTAAGGTAATTGATGAAGGTGTCTACGCTAAACAGATTTTCTATGTATATAAAACAGCCTTATATGGGAAGAAGATGCCATATATGACTTTCATAGAGAAGAGAAGTTAGTGCTTGGCTTCAAAACTTGGAAGGACAGGCTGACTCTCTTGTTAGGGGCTAATGCAGCTGGTGACTTTATGATGAAGCCAGTGCCCATTTAGCAGTCTGAAAATCCTAGGGCCCTTAAGAATCAATGCTAAATCTACTCTGCTTGTGCTGTATAAATGGGACGACGAAGCCTGGATGACAGCACATCTGTTTACTGAATGTTTTAAGCCCACTGTTGAGACCTACTGCTCAGAAAAAAAGATTCCTTTCAAAATATTACCATTCATTGACAATGCACCTGGTCATCCAAGAGCTCTGTGCGAAGATATTAATGTTCTTTTTATGCCTACTAACACAGCATCCATCCTGCAGCCCACGGATCAGGGAGTAATTTTCAACTTTCAAGTCTTATTTAAAAAAAACATTTTGTAAGTCCATAGATGATTCCCCTGATGGATCTGGGCAGAGGAAATTGAAAACCTTCTGGAAAGGATTTATCATTCTAGATGCCATTAAGAACATTGGTGATTCATGGGAGAAGGTCAAAATATCAACATTAACAGGAGTTTGGTAGAAGTTGATTCCAACCCTTGTGGATGATTTTGTGGGGTTTAAGACTACAGTAAGAGAAGTAACTGCAGATGTGGTGGAAATGGCAAAAGAACTAGCATTAGAAGTAGAGCCTGAACATGTGACTGAATTACTGCAATCTTATGATAAACTCAAATGAATGAGGAGTTGCTTCTTATGGGTGAGCAAAGAAAGTGGTTTCTTGAGATGAAATCTCCTCCTGGTGAAGATGCTGTGAACGGGTTGAAATGACACCAAAGGATTTAGAACATGACATAAACTTAGTTGATATAGCAGCGTCAGGGTTTGACAGGATTGACTCCAATTTTGAAAGAAGTTCTACTGTGGGTAAAATGCTATCAATCAGACAGCATTGTATGCTGCTGAGAACTCTTTGTGAAAGGAAGACTCAATAGACTCAGTGGCCTTTATTGTCTTATTTTAACAAGTTGCCAAAGCCCCCCAGCCTTCAGCAGCAACCACCCTGAGCAATCAGCAGCCATCAACATGGAGGCAAGACACTCACCAGCAAAAAGATTGTGACTCACTGAAGGCTCAGATGATTGTTAGCATTTTTTAGCAATAAAATATTTTTAAATTGAAGTGGTTATTTTTAACATTGTTTTTTTAGAAATAATGCTGTTGTACATTTCATAGACTACTACAGTATGGTATAAACATAAATTTATATGCACTGGGGAATAAAAAAATATTGTGTGACTTGCTTTATTGTGATATTCCCTTTATTGCACTAATCTGGAACCAATGCATGATATCACATGAACCAATCCATGATATCTCTGAGGTATGTCTGTGCTAATTTATATTACCACCAGCAATGTATGAGGGTTCCAGTTTCTCCACATTCTTGCTAACACTTACTGTTTTTTTTTTTTTTTTTTTTTTTAATTATAGCCGTCTGGTGGATGCAAAGTGGTATCTCATTGTGGCTTTGATTTGTATTTTCCTAATGGCTAATAATATTGAGCATCTTCTCATGTGCTTATAGTCCATTTGTATATCTTCTCTGGGGGAATGCCTATTCAGATCTTTGCCTACTTATTTATTGATTAATTGATTGTTGAGTTCTAAGAGTCTTTATATAATTTGGATGAGTTCCCTGGCTTTGTTCTTCCCTGGACTCTATGATGCCATTATCATATATATGATTTGCAAGTACTTTCTCCCATTTTGTGGGTTGTCTTTTCACTTTCTTGATAGTATGTTTTGGTGCACAAGAGTTTTAAATTTTGCCATAGTTGAATTTATCTATTTTTTCTTTTGTTGTTTATGTTTTTGGTATCAGAAGGATTGCCTAATACAAGGTCATGAAGATTTATGCATATATTTTCCTCTAAGATTTTTATAGTTGCTTTTACATTTAGGTCTTCGATCTGTTTTGAGTTAATTTTTGTATGTGGTGTGAGGTAGGGGTCCAATTTTATTCTGTTGCATATGGTATTTAGTAGTCACAGCACCATGTTTTGAAATGACTATGCTCTCTCCATTGAGTTGTCTTGACATCCCTGTTGAAAATCAATTGACTAAAAATGTAAGGTTTTATTTCTCTACCCTCAATTCTTTTCCATTGATCTGTATATCTATCCTAATGCCAGTGCCACACAGTCTTGATTACTGTAGTTTTGTAGTAAATTTTGAAATCAAGAAGTTTGAGTACCCTGACTTTGTTCCTCTTTTTCAAGATTGTTTTGACTATTCTGAGTACCTTGTATTTTCATATGAATCTTAGGATCACCTTGTCAATTTTTGAGTAAGGCAGATGGAATTCCGACAGGAATTGTGTTGAATCTGTAGTAAATTTGGGGAGTATCCATCTTAATATTAAGTCTTCCAATCCAGGAACAAGAGGTGTGTATTTACATTTATGGAGAGATTCTTTAAAATCTTTCAACAATGTTTTGTAGTTTTCAATGTACAAGTCTTAACACTTACATTAAGTTTATTCCTAAGTATTTTGTTCTTTTTAGTGCT